AGTAAGTCAGATCTAGCTTCTGAAGCAAGTCTGACAGTGTGCATCCGAAGATGCATCATGAAGCACGTCTTCTCAATAAGTGCTTATAGCTGCACTGCTCCATAAACATTAACCTGCTTTAAAAACATTAACCTGGACATTCTTTACCTGAAAATGCAGCATCTAAAACTCGACCGATGACAAGAAAACACACTAGATCAGGCGACTCTGATGATATGAAAAAATTGATTAAAACTTTAATAACCTATACGCCTATAACGATGGTATTTCAAAAGCTCCCCCAACTTCGTGTAGGTGAGCTAAATATGTGACGTTAACGTTATACGCGAGCGACGGAATAAGTAGGGAAATAACGATAGGATACGATTATGTTTTCTTATGTTAATATTTTCAAGAGTTCTCTTTGGTTTAGAAAAAATATGCTACTTTTGGCTTTGTATTTTAACACGGCGTCAGATCAAGTAACCAGGAGCATCTAATTTTAGATATGCAAATTTTAGACAATTTTCAATTTTTGTATATGAAGTGCACACGCGACACTCATCATATTTTAAGATATTAGTGTACAGAGTATATCTAATTACTAAGCAAAACTAGGTGAGTGTCTCTCATGCACTTCATATTCTAACCATCGATTTATAAATGCCACCCTCTTATATTTTCCCATTAGCCTAATGTTAAAGCATTTGAGGGTACATCTAAGAATGTGCCAACTACGGCGTCAATTCATCTCATATAAACTCTTGAAACATAAATAACAAAAAATAACATATATATCTTGAATTCTAAACCAATTTTGAAAAAATAAAACGAAATTTATTTTTCATGAAAATAAGTGGGCCGATAAGTGGCCTTATCGAAACTCCCCCTTAAGAACATAATAATTTTAATCAGTTGTTTTTTATTACTATTATATATACCATATATATATAAAGATTCTGATAAAAGGGGTTGTTAATATCACTTTATTATCTTTAAATCTTCATAAAAAAAATTCTATTCACTATCAAAATTATACATTTATTAGCCTATTTTGGAGTGACCCATTAACTAGATATCAAAATTTTTATGCGGTTTTGTGAACATACATGTACTTTTGAGGCGAAGCCTTATTCATAATACAAGGGAATTGATCAATTAAACAGAGAGTTAAATTAATAACACCAGGTTGCTAAACCCATAAGTTTTAATTAATGACTTATACTTGTTTGGTTAACAAAGAATTACCCAGGTAGTCAAATGCTAGTGAGTTATTGCTTCTTTCATTGACAGGCACAGAAGACTGAGTAACACAACATTTACACGTGGCGATTGTTGTGTTGTTTTATTAATATTCAATAATAAGAGCACGATTCTACACGTCGTATACTATAAATTTTATATGCATGATAAAGAAATGATTATGTTCTTTTTAACCCCAAAAATAAATATAAAATCTTGGTGTATCTTTGAATTCCTTTGTCAATGCCAAACTGAAGAGTTTTAAGGTAAAAAGAGCGACAACTCTGGTTTTTGTTTGTTATTTGTCAATCAAATAATTTGTCAATATTTATCATCAGGAATATTTTTGGATTTTGTTTAATAAAAATAGTAATAAAAGAAACAATAGTTAATCTTTTAAATGAAGAAAGAAGAAATACTATCAGATAAATTTATGAACTTATCTATAATATTCAAATATTTAACCAAAAGTAGGATTTTTCTATTAACTGACTTAATCTAAAGAAAAACAAACCCTTCTTTCGTGTGCATTCTAATTAAATATAGAAAACAGGACCTTGTACTACTTTTTCAACGTAATTTTAGGATTTTGTAATTTACGAATTAATTAATATTTTATACATTAATTTATATCAATTAAGGAATTTATTAATATATCTTGATTCTTTCTTTACAGATCTGCATTATATTCAAATACAGACATATAATAAAAATTTTATTTTAGTTTCAAAATCATTTCATAAGTTACAATTATTTGAAAATATGGGTAAATTAGGTATGTTCTCAATTTATGGACGTTTGATAGAGCTGGTCACAGTTGATTCCATACAAAATATCGAATAAATATAACTGTTACTGGTAACAGGTATTTCTTTTAATGTTTACTGAACACTCCACAGCGCGTAGCATTGACTTCCAATTTTTTAACGATTTTCACTTTATATTTTGTATGTTGCATAGTATGTTAAACAAGTATTTCATATGTGGATGGGCTAGTTTTCATTTCCTTTATAAACAAGAACAGTCTTTACTTTTTATTTCAACTTCGCTACTTGTAAGTAAATCGTACTTGATATTTTTAATTTGGTTTGTTAAATATTAAGATATAAAAGAGCAAAATCTTCATTCTACATGTATAGATCTTTTCTTTATATTCAACTTGTATTTCATGTCCAAAGCAAACGAGACGTTGCAGAGATGAAATAAAATTTAAAACTTTTCAATATTAGGAGGAAAACAGATTGAAAATCCAGGCGTTTAGTATTCATTTTTGCATCGCACTGTGTTATGATTTACAGCTGTATTAGTAGCACATAAGTATTTTAATAACGCGTCTCGCTCTTTCAACAATTTGTTTAATTTGCAAGACGTGATTAAGGATACAAGGATCGCTCAATGCTTCTTTAATTTTTTTTTTACAAGGTTACACAGGTTTTTTTGTTGTTGTTTTTTTTTTTGTATTAACCAAAAGGAAAACGCAATATAATTTATAAGTTTCATCTATATGCCTAAGTACATAAATTAGAAAAAAATAATTGATTATAAAGATTTTTAATTAGTAACAAAAACACAAACATGTTTTACTTATTGTTAGCTTTTTATGAAATCCTCAAAGTATAAATGAAGTGTGTAAAAAAGGTTGAGGAAAAAATTGTTTCCATTTGATAAATAATTCTTGATTATACGAAAACAGATTAAACATATGTTCGAATAGCGATATCTATACAATCGCACGGTTGTATAATATATGTATATCTAATGTTTATTGGACGAAGACTATATAGTTATCTAACTTGCATCTGAAAAGGCTTAGGTTTGATTTCTTTTTCACGAATTTTTTCCCGATTTCGTGGTAGACAAAACTGGTAGAGGAGTTTCCCAAAAGTTTTATCACTCAGACCTCTAACAAGCACTAAATATATTTCAGTAGAAAAGGGAATAGACATAGTTATCTCAAATTCTAATTTAATGAAATTTATCGAACAATTCCATACATTGATATTGATCACCATGTAAATCAAACAAGCATATATTCAAAGAGGCTTTGGGAAAGGCGAGGAAAACAAATAGTAATTAATCTCTTAATGTAAAGCATATATGGTACCAATTTTGATACACCAGATGCACATTTCGACAAATCATGTGATGTTAATGCCGAAAATCCGAAACATTTCAATGAAAACAAAATTGGAAGAGCTGAAAAAGGGGTGCCAAAGACTGGAGCCAAATATGAAGGATCGAAGGATCAGCGTTATGCATGAGGGAGATAATCCTTAATTTTGAACTCTTTGAAATTCCAAATGTGCAACCGAGTGCCTCAAGGGAATAAGAATTCCCTGTTGACCTCTTGTACCCATCAAAAGTCCTCTGTATTGATCAAGTGAACAGAATAAGCTGTAGTCAGAATCAGTATAAATCAATGACCTATCAATTATTTGTCAGTCTAAATTCGACCCAAAGATAGGTTGTTATTGTAAAAGTCATTAAAACAACCATAGAATTTGCGAGATGCTAACTTTCAAGAGACTGTTGAAAGCCCTGTTACATCAACTTATTTGTCAGTGGCCTGCCTCGGTTTAAAAAATATACACAAGACATGCTCTTGAATATCGAATTTGTTTGGAGACTTGTAACACCAAATTCATGTGAAAATAAAATATTTCTATATGAATACAGGATGTTGGGGCATGAAAAACCGAAGTTATCCTGTTTGTCTTGTTGTGTTGTTAGCTTGCAATTCCTTTCAGGTAAACATCCAAATATGAAACAGATGTGTCATACTATATGATATCTTTTATTTCAAGTTCACTGGTAAATACTCAACATATGAATGAAAATAATCATCTATTGTATTATCAATTAGCAATATTGACTTCCATTCATATGTCGACTCAATATATCCCAGTGAACGTGAAATAGAAGATTCCACTGAGTCTAACGCATCATATTTAGATATTTTACTAGAAAAAGATTTTAAATGGTAACCTAACAACAAAGCTTTATGATAAACGTGATGACTTCAGTTTTTCAATTGTCAATTCCCAATATACCCAATATACCCTTATTACCTGCATATGGGGTTTTTGTCTCCCAGTTGATTCGATACGCAAGAGCATGCTGTACGTATAAACAATTTCTAAAACGACGCAAGCTATTTACAAACAAGTTGATGAAAAAAGAATATCAAAAGACTCTTTTGAAGTCATCATTTTGCAAATTTTATGGTCGATACAATGACCTTGTCAGCAAATACAACCTATCATTATATAAGTCAAATGCTGACTGACGTTTTTCATACTAATTGTTAGGCCATTATTTACACACTGAGTTGTGGACGGATTTTTCCATTATTTTTTCGATCATGACAAGGAGCACACGGTGGGTGTGACCCGTCGCCAGAGAATGCTCACTCCTCCATGGCACCTGATCCAACCTCTGATGTTTTGGAGGTCCGTGTTTGCTCTGCCTCTGATTTGTATTGTCTAAATGGGTTTTGAGTTTGAATACTGTTTGTAAAATCCATATTTCATTATACCACTTCTGGACTATGTCTTAGCACAGTACATCTGAAATGTATTCTTCTCAGCACATGATATTTTTGTGAGAGGTGAAGATACGAGCTTGATAGAACATTTACTGGACCATCCGCTGACTCTGGAAATTTGTCTCATAAACAATAAGGGTTTTCCATACAATTTTTTTTCCTCTTATATGAGCTCTGCAAATACCCTCTTAAGATTATTATTATCTTCTAATGCACTCAAAAAAGAATCTGAAGGTGATATTTTTCTATTGTTTTAATTCCATGATGTTCGAAAATTTGAAAGTAGAAACAGAATGACATTTGACCAGAAGCAGAGTTTCTATTTACAAATATACACATACAATACAAATAATATTAAGAAAAAAAATCCATGTACAAAGTACATTACAAACAAATTATCACACATTTGCAGTGTGAAATTCACAAAGAATTCACAAATTCACAAACGATGTCTATATTGTCTTCCAAAAAAATGATGTACTTTGTGAAAGATATGCCAGGAATTAAACATTTGAATTATTGAAATTTATATAAAAATAAAGAACAGGACGTTGTCATGCTTGACAATGAATGATGACGGAGAACCAAGTCAGTGAGTTACTTTTTTCCTCCTAGCTAAAAAAGAAAAAAAGATAACATTTTCACTATCAATTTTTTTCATTTTCATGATTTTCAGCATAGAGGATTACAGGGGTTTTTTTCTTAGAAAAAGAACTTTATAGCAGTATTTCTGCTCTTTTAACTAAATTATTGATATCCAAATTTATCCCGTCGTTCCTAAGGTATATTATGGTAGAGTAAAAAGATCAACATCCATAGAATAGATATTAAATAGATATCAAACAAATATATTACATATTTTCATTCAAAAAATCTACCAGATTATTCCTTTATTTACTTCTTGTAAAAATAATGATGGTGTATTGGTAAAATGATTCAATACAAGAAAAAAATATCATTTCATATGGGTGTTAAGTATGCATTATTAATCAAATTATCAGATGTTAACTTGAAATGTACATGTTATATTATTGAGATTATTCACCTGGGATAGAGAGATTATTTCTAGCATAAATCAATTATTCATTCATACTTAGCAATGTCAAATCTCAAAATGAACAATTTTTTTTAAATGGTTAAAAAAAATCGCACACACACATACACCACACACACACACGAACCACTATGAAAGTCATTTTCTGACTCATTAGATTAATGAATAAATCGCCTATTAAATTTATTCTGTCGATCTTCAATATGAGATATTGGGAGAAGTTTTCAAAGATCAATCATAGATTTTATCTAATGGATGCTACTTTATTGAATATATTGATCACATGAGAATATCTTATATGCCTACTTTGGTTTTTGTTTTTAAATTGACAATTTTTTGTATCAAATTAAGTAACTGTAAGAAAATTAAATTTAATGAAGAATGTAGACTTTCCTTTTTTGCAAAGGTTTTAGGAACAAATTATTAGAAGTCTTTTGCATCTGTCTTCATAAATGTCTTAATTTCCAAAATTCGAAATTTCAAACCTATCTGCTCTATTCTCTTTAGAGAAGTGAACAGGCTTTCGCCTACATCCACTTCTCTTCGCAAGCCTTCATGTTTTGATTCTGGAAAACGTGTAAATCTCGAACCGGTGACGGTCTACACTTCAACTGACATTTCGTCTAAAATACGTCTGAATGTGCGTAATAGACGTGTTATATTAACAATTTTAACATAAATACACACAACTGTCACTAGAAAACTGACCTTTAAGTATTGTTAATCCATTTTCACAAGTTCTCCATCTCGGATTTAAACTAATGTTTATCTACCACAGCTTATTAGAAAAAATAAAAATTTTAAGTCGGATAATTTGGAAAAATTGGCGAAGACGTATTTTAATGTTCAAAAAAAGTTTTTGACAATTCACTTTTGATTTAGCATATTATTCAAAATTAATATAATTACCTATATCTATTTTTACTATTTTAATACAATTTCAATGTAAATTTGAGCTTAGAAAATACTTCATTACTTCCTCACTGACAATACTAAAAAATATTTTCTTTTATTTTTAAACGATATTAAATCTACCTTTCCCGAGAAATGAAAAAAGATTTAAAACAAAGATCAAAAGAATTTGAACCAAAATTGAGGAAATACTTTCTCGTTAGTTTAAACAGAGTAGACGATTTCTCTCGTTTCATTATTATTTTGTAAAAATAGTTTCCATTTTTATCCGAATTAGAGATTTATGAATACTTCAAGAGTTACTTGCACAAAATTTAAATCCGGGGTGGAGAACTTGTGAAAATGGATTAACAATACTTAAAGGTCAGTTTTCTAGTGACAGTTGTGTGTATTTATGTTAAAATTGTTAATATAACACGTCTATTACGCACATTCAGACGTATTTTAGACGAAATGTCAGTTGAAGTGTAGACCGTCACCGGTTCGAGATTTACACGTTTTCCAGAATCAAAACATGAAGGCTTGCGAAGAGAAGTGGATGTAGGCGAAAGCCTGTCCACTTCTCTAAAGAGAATACTATCTGCTCATGAGATGACACTATAGACAGTCTATACAAAATACTTACAAAGAACTTTGATCTTAGGGGTAAACTTCGCTTTCCATTAAAACAACCTCCAAAATTACAGAAAAGCCTTTTAGGTCGCCGTTGACGTCGGTTGGATTTCCTTTGTCTCAGCCACCATCGGCCACAACCTCTAGGTCCACAGAAACCCCTTTTTTCAAAGGAGGGACCTCGACTCTCAGGGACCTGCAGAGGGATATATCCTGACTCGAGTTCCTCCTCTTCATCGTTGGCCAGGTCTTCATTTGGAACGATGTCTATATTGTCTTCCAATAACTACAATCACATTTTTGGAAAAAAAAAATAACCGCAGGTGCATTGTAATATACGATTTTACAAAGGTTTGGTATTCGTGTCACCGCCAAATTAGTCGTACAATATTTAAAGAAAACAGGTTACTGACAAAAACTATATCTACAATACCTCTCTGAACTTGCAACGTAGAACAAAGACGCCTTTTGTTTGAAGGAAAGAAACCGATATGAAAAAATCAAGGATATGCATAAATATACCAAGGTCATTCCAGGGTTTTTTCTCCTCTGTCCTGGCGTCTACATGCGCCTTGGTTTTTGACACCAAATTACAAAATATACATAAAATAAGCTTTTTCTGGGTTTTTTTCCTTTGGTTAAAACGTTTTATATTTTGTATATTTGAATTTGTATTTTTGTCGAAAATTTGTCAAATTAGGTATAAACTAAGCATGTAGTACCTTGATTTTGCAAATTTTTTTTCAAGAAATAGAATTATAAAGTAAAATCCTTGAATGATAAGTGTATGATAAACTGAGATAAAAAAAAAAAAAAATAAAAAAATGAATAAATAAAACTTGGAATGGCCCAATGTCGCGCTAATTAGGTGAATTATTTTTTTTATTTTACACTGAGATATTATAATTGCTTTAAAATAAATAAGAATTAAGAGTCAACATATAAATCTTACACTTGATATATTCGCTTAACATATAAGTGATGATCTATTTTACATTTAGTCAGAAGTTTATTTTATTCATGGTTACAGATAAAAAATGTATTTTCCAGCATCCTTTTTAAGGTACGATCTAATGGACTAAATGATACTCACACTAAAATTTATTTTAAATCTAAAAGCTTGTAATATAATAAATAGCTAGAAATGGCTTGCTGTTCTCTCATTATTAGATACTAGACATAAATTGAAATAAAATACGATACATGATTGGTCGCTTTTGGCGTTCCCAGGAGATTATTTGATAACTAGGGAACATAAATCGAGACAGACTTCTGCATACTTAATAATTCTGGTAGTGGTTACTGAACTATTTCCTCAATTGGCAAGCATGTATATACTGTAATGTACAATTGATGAATATTCCTGACAATTCAATAATTCAATATTTAGCAAAAATTTAGAAACGAAACTTAAGATACTTGACAAATAAAACAGAGAATTCTTGTTTTTTATTTCATTTTTTTTTTTTTTTTGCAATTTACAAATCATGGTAAAAAGAAAACCGACATGATTCGTTCTGTGAAAGAAATTCCCTTTCCTTCCTTTTAAAATGAATTGGCTTTTAAGGGTCACCTTATAACATGTTAAAGCCTAAACGTTTCATCACTTGAACTTGTTTCCAGGAGATGAGAAGAAATAACCATCTTTGTTAAATGCATTAATTGTTAATTGGTATTCACTTTTCATTTCAGATGTAGTTAAAAATAAATGTATTTTCAACAGGATTTTTTGTTGCGAAAACATATAAATAGTAGTAATACTAGCAAAACTGACAAAGCAATCTATTTGATAAGTATAAATCGACGGAGAGATGCCAGTTTTGAAAAAGAGTTATCATGTAATATTTAATCAAGAAATTTTGATTATTTACTTTGTTCTTCATTTATAAGTTTCGTACATACATATATGAATTATCTTTTACAGTTATCAAAAAGATTTTGATTGCAGTTAAGATATGAATTCTCTTCCTCCTTAAAATCATAAACCCTTATCAAGAAAAAAATTCTACAACTTTCTGATAATGATTACCTGTCTAAGTAGGTCGATATTTTGTTCGGACGGTTCCTGGCAATGTGTATAAGCCGCTAGAGAAAGGACAATAATTAATGCACTGATAATGGCTCCAATCGGTTGCTCCATCTTCTTAGTTAAAAGCACTCTTCAATTTTGTCCAAAAATTGAGATCAGTTCCTATTTTATAATGGCTTGTTGCTAGTTTTACAGAATTAATAAGCACAAGATCAGCCCACAAAACCACGTAGCAATCAATTAAAATCTATCAATTATTTATGACTTATTACATTTCCTTTATTGATATTTCTACTAAAACGTTTAAATGAATCGTATGTAGTTCCTACTCTTTCCATCAGTAACAAACGATTCGATTCTTGATTGGTCAATGAGAGTTAAACAAAAAAAAAAGTAACTTTACGTCAGCTTAAAATTAACAAACATATAATAAAAAGTTACTAATTTAAAAAGAAAAATGTAAATGGGTGTGTAGACCCAAAATTATCATTGTTGTCTCCTACTATGACTTGCGTTCTGACAATTACGTAACCAATGGACATGGTCTATATCTTGAATTGAATCTCATAATAATGAACCAAATATCCATCCTTAATTTTACTACATGTATATCAGATGATAAATATTTTTATACATAGAAAGACTGTCTTCCTAAGTTAAAGATATTTATTTTTGTGAATATCTTGATCCAAAAAATAAAATTGATTAACATGATTTTCAGTCATCTCGTTTAAAGTCCGAAATTATATATGGCCATTATAATGACTGTCTTCGAAAATAAACGTACATGTACGTATATCTATAGTGGGTATAATATATAGGCCATTGTTTTGATTCCATTTTGAATAGTGATCACTCTGCCTAATCAATAAATAGGACTAGCTGCAGATTTGACCGGTTGACAGGGGATGCTTACTCCTCATAGACACCTGATCCATCTCTGGTGTTTCCAGAGATCGACGTTTTTGCCCTGCTTACGATTCGTATGAATTACTGGATTTATGAAACTGATCACTTCTCCTTTTATACATTAATCTAGAATTAGTGAAAAAATTAACTTTAATTTTACATTGTTTTCGTCCACTCAAATTCTACACAAAAAAATTTGTTATGATTGATTGATTGACTGATTGATTGATTGTATGAGTGTATGTTTTTAATGTCCCAATCGAGATTTTTTTAAATCTCATATTAAGGTGTCACTTGCTGTAAGTGAAGTGCCACAATTTGTACCCATGCCTGGTACTTTCGTACGTAGTAGGTACGGATATTTATCCTACAAACGCCTACCGTGACAAGGGACCTCGGTTTTCAAGGTCTCATTCGAAAAACCCTTGACTTTCACTTCTAGTACCAGGTGCCTGTCGTAGGAACAGTCACTACCTATCCTAAACGTCTTAGGATTAACGCAGGTCCGTACATAAACGATAGACGAACCCTGGACCTTTCGATCACGAAGCGAGCACCCTACCACGCGGCTACTGTGAGCGTTGAATTTGTTATTTGATCTTGATTTTAAAAGAGTGACTTTTATGTCATGAAACAGGTACATAAGTAAGCTTTTAAATTACATGAATATCCAAAAAGAACCTATTTATAGTTTTATAGATTTCAGATTTGTCCTCGGTCGATTAATTGATTGATTGATTTTAGGAATCTCCATAATACTTTACCTGTTTGAGAGTATTACCTGTTAAGATGAATCTTAACTAATTATGTCTTCTTTACATTATAGCGCCCGAAGGTATCTACTTAATAACTTCTCAAACCTTGACGTATTTAAATGACTTTCTTTTCCTTCAACAAGCCTAGATATGAACCCCAAACTTATACAGGTCAGCTTGAATGCTGATTTTCTTAAACTTCTCGCTTGTTTTTGTTGTTTGCGCTATGTCCCTTTCCAGAAAATTTCACTTATTTTGGGACAAAACCAGTTGCAACTGCCGGTGAAAAACTGCAGATCAAAGCCTTTTCTTGTTCTCGTCACTCATGACAGTGAGGGACAACTTTCCTGCCAGCATCTATTGCGACACGAGTTTAAACAGTCTCACTTGAATGTCGTTCTCCAGACGACGTTGTGTTTTAATAGAATTACATATCGTCATCACAACAATGTATATTCAGATGAATTCTTATCTTATTTAAAGATCTCATTAAGAACAATATCTAGAAAATACTTTATCAGAATATTATATAACAATTTTCAGGGGCTTTGTATGTATGCTTCGGCCACAGTTAACTTGGCCTTACATATTAGGAGAGAACTTGGAGATCATTCATAAAAACATTAAAAAGTCTAAACTGAATAGAATGATGAAGATAATAACTTGAAAGAGAATAATCCGTTTTGTTTCTCTGAAATATGAATAATCTAATTTTGAAATCCTAAATTTCCATTCGTATAATATTCACAGGATACAACATGGTATTGATCAAATTAGTGATATAAAATTTTTCTTATCTCTGTACTTGTCTGTTTGAGCAAAATCCGGAAGCAACTACATGTATAATTTACATTGAAACAATGATGCAATTGATTTCCACGGATTTGCAGACAAACACAATAAAAGTCTTCATCAGATTATGTTAAATTTTGTCTGTAGTGGTAATTAAAACTTGAACGTGTATTACAATCAGTTCTTATATTCTCGATTCCGTCCTGAAAACGATTCAAGATTGAACCGTTTCTAGGTAGGGAAAAATGTTGCATTACACCAAAAAGTTGTCATTTAAAGTTTCGTAAAATTTGATCTTTTTTCTAACGTATATAAATAATGTACGAATGACAAACGAACATAAAAGCAGTCCACTAGTGATTACGGAAAGGTAATATATATTCGATATCATGAGGGATTGACTTCCTTTGAAATCAATAGTATTTAGATGATGTTCTATTTCCTCATGAAATAGTATATATTTTTCTGGGTGAGTTTTCTATAATTGATTTGAAACATTGTTTTAAAGCAATATCAATTTACGGGTTTCTTGAAAAGAGAGTGATTGCTAGCTGTATTATCCATTGCATTGTTCTCTAAAGTCGACAGCGTATTAATATTTCATAAAATGTATTACAAACACGCGCAAAAATGCCGATTGAAATCCATCTGTAATGTCAGAATATTATCAAGTAGTAAATTTTCAAAATTTAGAGTTGAGAACATTGGATCATTTCCCCATCATTATATACTCTCATACCACAAAGTTTTGCCAATTTAATTTCAATTTTTCAATCGCTAACTTCACTTAATATTGCAATATATCTTTATCTCCTGCATCTGGTATTTATATTTCGGGTTCGATGATCGTTCGCCGCACCGCGTCAAACCTAAGACGTTAGTTAACATACGTAGTGACTGTTCCCTCGACAAACGCCCGGCAACGGAAGTGAAAGGCACGGGTCTTTCCTTAACAACCGATGTCCTGTGACACGGTTGGCACGATGAAGAACCCTCACTGCTCAATGGCCCTGAGTGCCGAGTATAGGTCTTACTTTGAAGCCCTTCACCGGCATACGGTGACGTCTCTATATGAATGAAAAATTCTTGAATGGGACGTAAAACAACATACAATCAATCATTCAATCAATTACCGGTTAAAAAACTAAGTACTTGTATATACTACGGTTTATCAGAAAGTAATATCACAACTGCTTTATAATTTTCAATAATCGAAACTTATCAACAAAATCTTATATATAAATACCTATCAATTTGGCCTTTTGCCTCAAAATTTCATTCAGATATATATGCAATATATATATATTTTTTAAAATATTAATATAAATACAACATTAGGTCTCGTCTATCGCCGCCCGGCTAGAATATACCGACGCCATAATGATGTTTCCTTCGGCACTCATTTTCGTTCATTCAGACATATTTTAAATATCTCACATATATGGGGTTTTTTTCCATGTACATTTCAAACTTAAAAAAAAATTTAAAATACAACCCAAACAGGGTGCTTTACAGTAAAATCGCAGTAAATATTATTAAAAAGAAGCATAGATGAGGTTTAAAAAATTTCTAGATGAATTGAAATTGAGTGTCGAAAAGTAACCTCAAAACGACGCCGGTAACATTCTTCCCGTGCGACGAAATGCAAAATCTGACGTTGTTTTTCCTAATATTTTAAAAAGTTTTTTATACTAGCATAACTAAACGAATTTTCAAGGTAAAAATAAAAATAGATAGGGGTATTAGAATCTAAATTTTTGTTGTTAATATAAGAGTATTAAAAATTTTATATCAGCTCTGACATTGCTTTTGGATCAACTCTCATATTTTCTTATAAAATCGAAATTTAAGACAATGATGATTTCATTATGTAGAATGTAACAACCCTGATGCCTTATCAAGGGTAGATGCCTATCTTCCGTTAAAAAATACAAAAACCTTGATGCCTAATAGGAAATAAATGATGTCTATCTGCAGTTGATGAAGAGTACGAGCACAACAATCCAGTTGCCTTACTAAAGGATGACATACTATTATAGATTACAACAACGCTAATGAAACCTAGCTGTCTGCCGTTTAATTAAACATTGAAGTATTTTTTGGCAAGCTACTAACAAATACATTGATATTACAGGGTTTTCAACAATCTTGTTTCAAGTCTGTATTTTTGGAATTTTAATGTTCATTCTTATGAACTTGTTTCCAAATAAAACTTATCGAGACGTTTTTTTAGACTGAAATGTTTCATATCACTTCTCAGTCCATAGTTTTATACTACGTTTGACTATCACTTGTCAGTCCATAGTTTTTATACTACGTTTGACTATCACTTGTCAGTCCATAGTTTTATACTACGTTTGACTATCACTTGTCAGTCCATAGTTTTTATACTACGTTTGAGTATCACTTGTAAGTCCATAGTTTTATACTACGTTTGACTATCACTTGTCAGTCCATTGTTTTTATATTACGTTTGACTATCACTTGTCAGTCCATAGTTTTATACTACGTTTGACTATCACTTGTCAGTCCATAGTTTTTATATTACGTTTGACTATCACTTGTCAGTCCATAGTTTTATACTACGTTTGACTATCACTTGTCAGTCCATAGTTTTATACTACGTTTGACTATCACTTGTCAGTCCATAGTTTTTATATCACGTTTGACTATCACTTGTCAGTCCATTGTTTTTATACTACGTTTGACTATCACTTGTCAGTCCATTGTTTTATACTACGTTTGACTATCACTTGT